ATGAAAGCCTAAATTTTTCTTTTTCATATTAGCACTGGCAGCACGTGCCATGTGTTTCATCTTCTCGATAATTCGCATACAGCATTAACGCCACAAAAAAGTTGCGTTAATATTTTTTAGGTTATGTGATTTAGGGGTTCGAAATTTTTTTGCCATTTAACTGAGACTTCAAAAATATGTCAAGCAAATAAAATACCACCCTTAGGCGTCCATCACACACGTATCCTTACTTCCTATGTGCTATTCATGAGAAGACGGCCTGGATTATTTCACCTCAGTAAACTGACCTTACGAGTGAAATTGTATTATAAAACAATATAAGGGAACTACTACTAAGACGATTAGACAGAGATTCTAACGACTACAAGATCCCAAAAAATGACACATGGCCTCAGTACAAGTACAAAGTCGTAACCATTGCTGTTCGTGAGTTTCTGCATTCTCAAACGTGAGTCTTCCACAATTCCTCTAGCTTTTAATTCTGTAATCCGTCCCTCTACTCCCAGTTTCTTCTATGTGAATCCAAAAGAGATGGAGGCTAACTCGATAACCTCGCGGTTTTCTTAGCCTCCATGCACGGAGTCTGGAACACTGTTACCTTTAATTTTTTACATATGTATCTTTTCCTGTTTTTTTTTTTATGTTAAAACAATTGGTTCATGCTTTTAGCTGTGCACTTTTGAGTTATGGAACACGTGGGAAGTTTGTGGAGCACTCAAGAAGCTAGAGTTGTCCTGGGCTATTGCCTCGGGCAACTCTTACGTTTCTTTCGTGCTCTCCAAACTTCCCATGTGCTCCATAACTCCGAGGTAGTGCACGCTAAAGAATGAACCAATTGTTAATTACTAGTATGTTTCGTTGCCCCTCTCATGCTTAGTTTTATGGTTGTGCAGTTTAAATTGAGATGTGTTTTAAAACACATTTATTTAATATACATCAGATAACTTTAAAATATCCATTTAGAATTTGAAGATAAAGGATAAGAAAATGCAAGAGAGATTATAGAATCTCTTAGAATATTCCACAATCTACACAATTTTTTTCAATTTTCTGCATCAAATAGTATATATGGATCTATGATGTCAACCTCATCTCGAGATTTTTCAAAGCAAACTAATTTACTCAAATTATTATAAATTTTGCTGAAAATTCGACAACAAACGGTGCCGACGTTTTTGGTAACCAGGCCTTTTTTTCCTTTACATGACGTGGTCTCGCTTCTTTTCTGTCATGTTGCTTGGCGATCTATTTAAAAAACTGCTAAGAACTACACAAAAACATATTTTTGTCGCGTTGTGGCATTGTTTCGGCTCCTCTTTTCTTTTGAATAATGGTGGCAGGGTTGATCAACATTTTTAGCATTTATGGAGAAAATTTCCAATGGTTCATGAATGCAATTTAAATCTTATTAATGTTTGATGAAGCAGTGGTACCCTAGATAGAAATTAGATCCTTGTCACTCTTAGGGTTAAAGAATAAAAAACTGATGCAGGAAATTGTAGATCAAGTTTTAGCGAACGCTTGGAGGAGGTAGTCTGACGATAAATGCCATCTGTTCTCCTGGTCTAGTGTTATGATTTAGCTCTTTTTTGTGTTCTTCAGGGCATATTTGCCGTTTTCGCTTGCCACCGGACTGCGCAGAGATATCTGCATGAGTGCGGCTAGAAGAGCTGCTGTGAAATATGTGGAACCTCCATTTCAACATTTTGTGGTGGAATGCTGCACGAACTTCACTGTTTCTCAGCACATGCAAGAGGAAAATTAGCATACCCTGAAAAAGACACGTGATTGATTAGTTCCATCATTGAATTAGAATTTCTCGCATCATATAGCTTTTGATTTTATTCCCTCTTGATCAAAATCGAATAAGATTAAGAGACTGTCTTCCTCACAAAAGTCCTTTTGATCCAAGTGGACAAACGCGGTGTGAAACTTAATAAGTGGTTCATCTTACTAGGCCTTTGGACTGCATGTGGTCAAGCGCGCCAGGCATTGGACCAAAGCGTTTGCAACTTATAGACCTACGTACATGTAGTTGGTACAGACCTGTGAGGAGTTAAGTATTGTAAAAATATACTGGAACTCCAATCCTGCGTCTGTGACAGCCAAAAGACCAAATATCCAAGTTAAACCCAGTAGAGGGCTTAAGATGATAAACGACCTCAGAGTTTTTCTAAAGGCGAATAAAACGCAAAACTGCTTTCAAATTACAATTTTCTTTTGGAGCTATACTGTGCAATACACATTTCGCATGTAAAATTATTTTTTCTGCAATAAAATGAAATCGTTCGAACTATCTGTTAATTATAAGTGAATAATCGAGAAGATTCTCTCACTTGTCGAATAACGCAGAAAGGTTCAAAGGTTCAAGGAAAAACCCAAAACAATTAATATGACTTCATCCAGTTTAAGACTTCAATAAAAAAAAAAAACAACACAAACCTTCGAGTTGATTAATTAATTTTAAGATTTAAATAAATAAGAGGCTGTAACAGCGTTATTTCAAAATTCGGATATGACCATAGTGTTTCATTCATTTTAGTAAACGGCANCAGAACTGAGCAACATGTAACACCAGAATTATCATGAGATTAACGTGAAAAGTGAATCATTAAAGTTTAAGAAAGTTTTGTGAGTCCAAAAATCGACAAAGAACGCCCTAACGTGGTTCGTATGAAAAATTTATCATATGCTTCCTCAGCGGTGGATCTAGGAGCAGGCTTCGAGGGTATTCCTCATCACCTGGCTGACACCAAAATTTTTGTAACAAATGGTGTTATCGCACTAATAGAAATGAAACATTTAAAATATGCTGTATTGATCTGTTTCTTAGACTATCTGTACCATATAATGTAAAATGAAACTCCTTAGTTTTGTGGCAAAAGTTTGGATCCACCCCTTAGCTAAAATCTGTGGCTCCGCCGTTGTACCTGAAAGCATTTTAGCTGTACTTATTTTATTTCAGTGAGAAACGACCTGAATATTGTTAAATAACAATAAACCTTACCTTCATAGGAATTTAAATAAGGAAGTTTCCTGCTGCAGTTTATCGACTTCAGCTTCATCATAGACTTACTAATGGCATAACAGCGGTCAAACGGTTGTGTTCTGTCCAGGAGCTCGGGGGGTTCCTGGGCTGAGTTGTTAGGTGGAAGCCCCCATTGGAACGAACCTTCGCTATCGAGTCTCAGAGCAGTCCAGAAATAATTTGAATACGGCTGGGAATTCTTTATGAGTTCTGCTTGTGCCTCGCAGAGTTGCTCTATACTCACAATACTTGCCAAGGGAGCGCCACTTTCTAATAGAGAGTCGTTGAGGGCCGAAATCCACGTAAAATTATATTCAATTGGCTCGTAGCTCACATTAGCGGAGCGAGTTTCTGAAAAGCAATAGAACTTTCCCCATAAGCGCGGCCTTTCCAATAGTAATATTTATGATCTGTGCAAAATAAAGTTGTTATACGTGGATAAAACTGCAGCCGATTAGGGGGATTTCACCATTTTGTGACCATGCTAGATTTTGAAGATAAAAAAGCATCATACTCGTTTGTAGATTGATACGACACGACAGATTGTAGCAAAATCGCTGACTACATTTGTAACTCTGTCGTTGAAGAACTGCGAAATCAATTCAATCAACATGACAATCATTAGAATGGCAGATCGTCAGTTCGCAGAGATCTATAAGCCCTGTTAAATTTTGCGTAAATTTATGCAAAATGATGGATTTATTGTGGATTGCGTATGTAGAAATCTAATAACAGTGTACCCTAAGATCCCCTAGGTACTATAGAATAAATGTAATGCACGTACTAATGCATCATAAAGCAGACCTTGTGCAAATCAGTAATTAAGCATTTATTAACTTATATCAAATTCGAGATTTATCTTAACAGAAGAGCCCACAAATGTAAGATATACTTCACATGATATATCTTTCCCGATCTAATAGCGCCTGNTGTAGATGAAGTTTTAGCGAACGCTTGGAGGAGGTAGTCTGACGATAAATGCCATCTGTTCTCCTGGTCTAGTGTTATGATTTAGCTCTTTTTTGTGTTCTTCAGGGCATATTTGCCGTTTTCGCTTGCCACCGGACTGCGCAGACATATCTGCATGAGTGCGGCTAGAAGAGCTGCTGTGAAATATGTGGAACCTCCATTTCAACATTTTGTGGTGGAATGCTGCACGAACTTCACTGTTTCTCAGCACATGCAAGAGGAAAATGAGCATACCCTGAAAAAGACACGTGATTGATTAGTTCCATCATTGAATTAGAATTTCTCGCATCATATAGCTTTTGATTTTATTCCCTCTTGATCAAAATCGAATAAGATTAAGAGACTGTCTTCCTCACAAAAGTCCTTTTGATCCAAGTGGACAAACGCGGTGTGAAACTTAATAAGTGGTTCATCTTACTAGGCCTTTGGACTGCATGTGGTCAAGCGCGCCAGGCATTGGACCAAAGCGTTTGCAACTTATAGACCTACGTACATGTAGTTGGTACAGACCTGTGAGGAGTTAAGTATTGTAAAAATATACTGGAACTCCAATCCTGCGTCTGTGACAGCCAAAAGACCAAATATCCAAGTTAAACCCAGTAGAGGGCTTAAGATGATAAACGACCTCAGAGTTTTTCTAAAGGCGAATAAAACGCAAAACTGCTTTCAAATTACAATTTTCTTTTGGAGCTATACTGTGCAATACACATTTCGCATGTAAAATTATTTTTTCTGCAATAAAATGAAATCGTTCGAACTATCTGTTAATTATAAGTGAATAATCGAGAAGATTCTCTCACTTGTCGAATAACGCAGAAAGGTTCAAAGGTTCAAGCAAAAACCCAAAACAATTAATATGACTTCATCCAGTTTAAGACTTCAATAAAAAAAAAAAACAACACAAACCTTCGAGTTGATTAATTAATTTTAAGATTTAAATAAATAAGAGGCTGTAACAGCGTTATTTCAAAATTCGGATATGACCATAGTGTTTCATTCATTTTAGTAAACGGCAAAGCATATTTCGAGGAAAAATTATCATTCGGTGACATTTTCCTCTGAGACTTGACGTAATTTACGCGATTTCAAGAATCCTTTACTTTAGTTTCCATCCTACCGCAGGCACTAGAAGACATACCTCAAGATCTTCATTTTAGAGGGATTAGGTTCATGGAGATTCCTGATTTCTCGTAACACCGCCATGACTATCCCAAGGTTGATCTTAAAGAAAGAAAAAGCAAAAAAAAAGGCTCCAATCACTTGTCTATGGGGAAATCATATAAATAAGTCACTTAGTCGGTCAGCCAGCCAGCCATCCAGTCAGTCAGTCATTCAGTCAGCCAGCCAGTAAATCAGTCAGTCATAATATGTTTCAACCACCATTCATTCAGTCATCTTTTCATTCTCTCGTTCATTCATTCATGTATTTATTCTTCTTGTTTGTCATTTCCAGCCATTAGTTAAGATTGCAATAAAAGCAGAGAGAAGAGGACTTACAACTGTCACAAGCAACACAGGGACGATGAAGGCCCAGCTCAAGAGCTTGTGGAAGGACAACCAGCAGCTGAAAGTAAGTTCAGATGACGGATCTGTTTCAAAACAGTTTATATGACGGTGTCTAATGAAATTAATAAGTTATAATGATGAATAAAGCGCTGTGTACTTACAAGTTTTCATTTGTGTAAGTATCAAGTCCTTTTTTACCGCCTGAGCCAATTATTAGAGAAATAACTATTGGTAAGATCGGGAAACCTATGAGATAAGAAATGGAATAGCAATATAATTCAATAAAAACACAGCTCAATAATTCCTCGACACGATAACCTCCATAGTTAAAATATAAAAATCAGCTCAACAGGATGAAGTACGACAACAACAGAAGCAACAATAACAACAACAACAAAAATAACAAAAGAATAACAACAATAACGATAACAGCAACAACAACAACAACAACACAAATAACAAAAAAATAACAACAATAACGATAACAGCAACAACAACAACACAAATAACAAAAAATAACAACAATAACGATAACAGCAACAATAACAACAACAACAAAAATAACAAAAAAATAACAACAACAACAATAACAGCAGCATTAACAACAACAGTGAAATTAATATCAAGGACAGCTGTATTATGAAATGACCTGCCGTCCCTGAAGGAATCGATAGACAAGTTCTATTTCACATTCAATATTTAACACAAAAAATACAGCCAATCAGAATACAAGAAAGGCTGTGTTTCACCCAACTTTCCTATTGTACTTTGTATTGCTTGTGCTGGCCTCAGCAATCTCTATGAAATAAAATCTGCAACGTTTTCGAGAGTTACGGCCAAGAAATATCCCACTTNTCGTGATTGGTCTGTTTCGGTCTGTCGGTAAAGCTAGGTTGTTCTTTTTCGGTCGTTTGTGATGTTTATGTCGTGAATGAGTCGTTTGTATGGGGCGGGTAGTTGTTGACATCTGTTTAGGGGAGTCTGTTCTAAGTTAGTAAACCAGCTTTCCAGAGTCAGTCGTTGAAAATAGTCAGTGCTGTAGGTTAGGCATTGCGCAGAGTCCCAGTCAATGTTGTGGTTGGTAAGTCGATGGTGTTCAGCAATGTGATTGCTGACATCACCTTTCCTCGTCGCCCGTCTGTGTTCAGTCAGTCTTGTTGTGAGGTTTCTGCCAGTCTCACCGATGTAGGAGGCTTGGCAGTCGGAACAATTGATCTTATAAATCGTTCCCTGTCTGTTCCTCGGTTCGTCTTTGTCTTTAACGTTGGTTAGTAACTGACGTAGTGTGGTGATGGGTTTGTGGGCGACGCGGATATTGAAGGGTAGTAAGATGCGCGAGATGTTTTCAGACATGCCTTTTATGTACGGTATGGTTGCTGTAGTCGTAGGGGTTGCGGTGTCGTTTGTTTCGGTAGTGGTAGTGGGTCGGTGAGTGTTTCGTCGGATGAAGTCGTTGTTGTAGTTGTTCTTCGTAAAAACACGGTGAAGGTATTTGTTCTCGTCGGATAAGCTGTCTGTCGAGTCACATACTAGTTGTGCGCGTCGTGTTAGAACCACTACCGCTACCGACAGACGACATCATGGACTTGCTAAACATTTGCCTAACGTCTACTTACTTTCAGTACAACGGTAAACACTACAAACAGTTACACGGCACTGCCATGGGGTCTCCAGTTTCTGTTGTTATAGCAGAAATTGTGATGCAGAACATCGAGGAACGCGCCCTTTCGACTTGCCGACAAACGATACCGCTTTGGTTACGTTACGTTGACGACACATTCACCGCCGTTCGACACGACGAAATTGACGCATTCCACAACCACCTTAACGAACAAAACACTGACATACAGTTTACCAGAGAAGTCGAAGAAAATGGCAAACTTCCTTTTCTAGACTGCCTGGTAAGCCACAACGACAACTCATTACGAACGACAGTTTACAGGAAACCGACACACACCGACAGATTACTAGACGAGTCATCCTACAACCCTACATCACACAAAGCCACAACTATCAGAACTCTAACACGACGCGCACAACTAGTATGTGACTCGACAGACAGCTTATCCGACGAGAACAAATACCTTCACCGTGTTTTTACGAAGAACAACTACAACAACGACTTCATCCGACGAAACACTCACCGACCCACTACCACTACCGAAACACACGACACCGCAACCCCTACGACTACAGCAACCATACCGTACCTAATAGGCATGTCTGAAAACATCTCGCGCATTTTACTACCCTTCAATATCCGCGTCGCCCACAAACCCATCACCACACTACGTCAGTTACTAACCAACGTTAAAGACAAAGACGAACCGAGGAGCAGACAGAGAACGATTTTTAAGATCAATTCTTCCGACTGCCAAGCCTCCTACAGCGGTGAGACTAGCAGAAACCTCACAACAAGACTGACTGAACACAGACGGGCGACGAGGAAAGGTGATGTCAGCAATCACATTGCTGAACAACATCGACTTACCAAAAACAACATTGACTGGGACTCTGCGCGTTGCCTAACCTACAGCACTGTCTATTTTCACTGAACGACTGACTCTGGAAAGCTGGTTTACTAACTTAGAACAGACTCCCCTAAACAGATGTCAACTGCTACCCGCTCCATACAAACGACTCGTTCACGACATAAACATCACAAACGACCGAAAAGGAACGACCTAACTTTACCGACAGATCGAAACAGACCAATCACGACCGACTTACGTCACTTGAGTCTTACAGCCTATAACATCACGGCAAAACCAACCGCTCATTTCACACGAAGTGGAATAAGAACATTCTACTGACAACAATCACTCACTTGACTCTGATGATGACTTCCGCACAGGTTGTCGAAACGTCAGTCACTACCGCCGACAACAGTCCTTCTCAGGACTACACCCACCCGAACGATCAGACAACACCTTCACATGTTACCCCCGGGTTCAAGCCACTTACTGCATTACAATCAAAATCATTAACCAATGACGAAGACTTACTCTTGATAGCAGGAAAAGCGAAAAAAAATTTAAGGAAAATGGATCCCGCGAAATTATTAACAGAAAAAGAAAATTTCTTTTTGCTGTATTTATACGTAGTCTAAAAAAAATTTCGCGTTCGTTTCACGAAAAGTATGTTTCTTAATTAATTGCACTTTAGTGTTAAATTTTCAATAACCCTAGACCCTCTTCGTTTTTAATTTAACGAGAAAAGCATGGAACAATATTATTAGGATTTTTCTCTTACCCTCAACGAAGTGAACTAGCAAGGCTAGCAACATTTGGAAACGCAACCGACTTGAACCCTTTCCTGTTTGATTCATCTTCTATCCGTCGGTTGAACTAAAGAGGAAACTGGTTTTATTTAAACGTATCCATAAATTAAACTCCATCCTGTGAAAAATCCATTAGCTTAACTGGGCCACTACACGTCGCGTAAAGTCTCGACTTCGATCGATCCTGCTGACATCTACGGCTCGATTTTCAGGCAGTTTTATATCTCTAACAGACTTGAAGATGTAATGCATAACTTGTGATAATTGTTCTCAGGAGTGAAACATTTTAGACTTTATTTTAAAAATGAGTAATATATTCACAGCCTTAATATTGTCCTCACTCATGTTGCTTTCCGGGTGGCAAATTATGGGTTTTAACATTCATTTTGAAATAAATGTATAGTCATACGTTTATATGAAATGCACTTACCTCATTGAATCGATATTCGTTGACTGAACGTCGAAGCCTTGAAACAGTTTTGGTAAGGGCTCAGCCAACTCCTCCAGGTGTAATTCTAGCTTGTAAATGAAATAAATTTTATTCCTCGCCAATCAATATTATGTATTCGATTCCGTGACTCAAGCGTGCTATTTTAACTTTAATTGGGTTTCCTAATTACTGTGTTTTCTCTTTTCTTACTAATATATTATAAAC